GGTGTTTGTGCTCTTTTCAGTTTCTCTCTAAATGATCCAGCACTTTCTTATCCACGATCATTTGATAACAGGCAATTTTATGCCTATTTTAATCATTTATGTTTCTAGAAAGCCGTATTTACTAGCTCCGTGCGTTCCTAAGCTCTTAATGAAGAATTTGGCGTGCTCTTTCTTCTGCCTCACTGCTCCCTAGGTTGTGCATTCATTTCTGCTCCTAGGGAGGAGGGAGTTGGTACCATCAGACACACACCAGCTGAATTTCAGTCATAACGAAACCTTAAGAGAAAGCCATTTTTGAAGGACAAACAGGAATTTGTGGAGACAGAAATGTGACAGCAGGCGATGCCTAGCCTGTGCTATGGAGGAGGGAGGGAGGCTGACTGATTAGAAAGGTCGAGTGACGGTCACCCTGGGGCTGGTGACAGAACCACCTGGGCACTCCCAAGTGTCAGCGGAATCCTCGGGGATCTTTACTTCCTCATTTCTCTTCTTGAAGATGTGGAAAAGTACAATAAGAAGGGCATTGCCACGCTTGGCTCTTCCAGATGGAGGTGAGAGTACTCAACAGGAAGTCACTGTGTGGAAGGATGTCGACCCTTGGTCCTCAGTGACCTTTGCCCCCTCTTCATTTCTTAAAAACAAACTTGCTATAGGTCATATGCACTTGCCAGAGAGAGAGAGTGGGAGGGAAAGTGAGAAATCACGCCTGGGGAACGGTCATGACTCAATTCCTTCTCTTCCATTCTCCTCTCAAGATTTTGGGCACGCATGCACTCGGCATGCTTTCCAAGCCATCATGTCTGGGACTCGAATGACCCAGTCAGCCATGTGGGATCCAGGCACCTTAGCCACCATGCTGCTGGCTGACCCACCCCTTCCCCATTTGATCTCATTTTCATCTCTGTCCTTTTGTTCATGGCTAACTACAATGAAAACATGTTTCTGTTGTTGTTTAGATTTTTGCCACAAGATCTGTGCCCTTACCAGAGACGGAGAGTGGGAAAGTGAGAAATCACTCCCCAGGTGTGATGGCCATGCCATAGTCTCTTCTCCTTTATTCTCCCCTTTGGATTCTGGGCACACACGTACACATTCCCAGCATGTTTTTAAGCCACCAGGTCCGGGATTTGAATGGCAGTGTTGGCAATGCAGGATCT